CTGGTGTCTCCCTCCCTCCTTGGTCCCCACCAGGCTTACTCACATTTCTCAAGGCCTGTTGTTGGATCTCCGACTCTCATGACAGTGTCTTCATCTACTCTGTGTCCAGGGAAAACAGGGTCATGCAGAGGAGGGAGGGGGGAGGGAAGGATTGTGGAGGGGGGATGGGCTAACCATTCTGCGAGGATGATTGTATGGAATGAAACATTTTCATAAAGGAAACAAAAAAAATTGTTTCCAGTTTAGTTTTGAAATCCCTGATCGTGCTGCCACCTGCTGGCCTAGATGAGGAACTGCTGTGCTGTGCTTAGTCACTCAATCGTGTCTTTGCAACCCCATGGACTGGAGACCACCGGGCTCCTCTGTCCATGGGGATTCTGCAGGCAAGAATACTGGAGTGGGTTGCCATGCCCTCCTCCAGGGGATCTTCCCAAACCCGGGAACTCCCGGTCTCCTGCATTGCATGTGGATTCTTTACCCTCTGAGCCACCCTGGTAGCCTGAGAAGGGCTAGAGATGGGCTTTTAGGGACAGAAAAGCCTTGGGTTGGAGACTCAGATGTCCCTTTCCAAATCTGATGGGAATCCCCCCTTCCTCAGGGCCCTTCCTGGGGACTAGAGCTGTGTGTTCAGGGTTCCTACCCAAAGGGCAGTGGAAATCGCAGTTGAGGGGGGTTGTTTCCTGGCCCTCTCTTCTCCGTTAACCCTGTTCTCCCTGTCCTTAGTCAGTCAGCAGCTCTGGTCCAGGAACAACCAGGGTTCAAAGCCCGGAATAATGGAACAGGAGCAAGGATTAGACAGGAGAAGTGCAGGAGGCCGCAGAGGAGAGACAAGCTTGGTTGCCCTGGGGCCCTGCCCTGATTTCTTCAGCAATGACACGTTGAGGGAACTTACCTGAAGGCCCAGTGGTTGAAACACCATGTATCCCATGCAGGGTGTGTAGGTTCGATCTCTGGCCAGGGAACTAGGATCCCACATGCCATGTGGTGCAGCTAATGAAGAAATTTACAAAAATGACACGTACAGCAGGGGCCGCTGCAACCACAAAGCACCACTAGGGTCTGTTTCAAGACCCTCCCAGGACTTCCAGGGAGGTCCAGGGATTAGGACTCCCAGCTTGCAATGTAGGGGACATGGGTTTGATCCCTGGTCAGGGAACTAAGATCCCAGGAAAAAATAAAAAAAAAACTCTTCCTCTCCCCTCAATGGACTCAGGCCTGCCAATGAAGTTGTCCCTTAGAGGAACAAGGGCAGCTGAGGATGGGTTGGAGATATCCTCTTATCCTCAGCATCTGGTCCAGAGTGTAAGCCCCTGAGGGTCATGGCGCCAGGGGCTGGGCAAACAGGCTGGCTGTGGACCACCAGTGACTTGATCTTTTCTGAGCAGAAGCCAGGTCCCTGGGAGGAGAGAGGGCTCTTGTCTCTTCCATCCTCCAGGCCATTGTGTTCTGTATTAAATGTCTGCTCTTTAGGGAAGCCTTCTCTCCAGGGCTCAGAGACACCATGACAATGTGTTCCCCGGGCAGGCTCATATCCAGAATGGCCTCTGAGTTCTCAGGCCTCTGTCATCTACCCTGCTTGTTTCCCCTATTAGATGAGTCCCTCCATCTCTCTACCTGCCCGCTCACTTATCCATTTGGAAGCTACCTATTTAATGTGTCAGGTGCTTTCCCAGGCTCTGGGGCAGCTCCCTGTGAGGCAGTGAGCAGGTCATCACTGAATGTAGTCTGAGAGCAGGCACACGGAAGAGGCCAGGCGGATACAGGTCGGAGGATTTCTCCAGCAGGTTTGTATGTCAGAGCCAAGGAGTGGATCTGCTGGCAGGGCTGATCCATGACATGACCCACGACATGATCTATGCTCTGTCAGGTGAGGAAGGACCAAAGATAGGGGAGAGGGTGAGGGCCAGGTCAGGATGCAAGAAAGAAGGGGCATCTTGGGACTTCCCTGGGGGTCCAGTGGTTAAGACTTCACCTTCCAATGCAAGGGGCGAGGGTTCGATCCCTATTTGTGGAGCTAGGCTCTCACATGCCTTTTGGTCAAAAAAAAAAAAAAATCAAAATATAAAACAGAAGCAATATTGTAATAAATTCAATAGACTTTAAAAATGGTTCAAAAAATGGTCTAAATAAAAAAAGATCTTAAAAAAGAAAGAAGGCACATCTGGTCTAGCAAATTGGCAGTGTGTGTATGTTTGTGTGTGTGTATGTGTGTGTGTGTGTTGTGTGTTTACCATGATGGTAGGATGGAAGATGTACAGGTAGACGAGGTGATCCAAGAAGGTAAGTCTTGGCAGGAGCTCTCCTATCTGTCCTGGGGATTCTGAGTTCTGTCCTGATAGCATGTAGCATGACTGGACCTCACTAGCTCAACCCCAGCCTGACCCCCATTCTGCCCAACCACACACAACAACCTTGACTTATATGCAGTGTTGGGCTTCCCTGGTGGATCAAATGGTAAAGAATCTATCCACAGTGCAGGAGACCAGGGTTCTATTCCAGGGTCGGGAAGATCCCCTGGAGAAGGAAATGGTAACCCACTCCAACATCCTTGCTCGGAGAATTCCATGGACAGAGGAGCCTGGCAGGCTGCAGTTCATAGTGTGGCAAAGAGTCAGACAGGACTGAATAACTAACATTCATTTCCTTCATACACTGTGTTATACACTTGACTTACACCCTGGGCAGAAAGAATGAAGATTTCTCAGGCACTTGTTTTGAAACCAGTACTGAAGACATTGTTATATTGATCATGCCTTTTAAGATTTGATTCTGGGGAGAAAAAAGTTTCTCTCTTAAGTTAATGGAAGTTATCCCTCTGTGGATATATTTATATCTATATACCTATATAACTGCACCTATATCTGTATCTACCTCTCTCTATATCCAGATATGTCTAGATATACATATCTAGATATACATTATATATACATATGTCTAGATATAGATATGTCTAGATATACAGATGTATAGACTCCACTATTTGCTAAATTTTATTTAATGAGTACATGTTACTTTTATTTATCTTACTTGTTTTTATCATTGAAAATGTGGTATGAGTTTCTCCCTACCAAGGAAAAAGATATATCCCTACATATTCTAGACATTGCCTTGGTAGGAGAGAAACTCATACCATGTTTTCAATAATAAAAATAAATATGGTAAAAAAAATAAAAAAATAAATATGGTAATTAAACCAAAATATCCTCTTTAAATAAATAAATTTAGCAAATAGTGGAGAATAAGGGAAAACAAAACTGCCACAATCATTAAAAGTAACTCAGTTTAATATTTTGAATATTTTATACTATCTATAGGTTTAAAAATGGAACTTACCACATGTATGTATAACTTTGAATTCTGCTATTTTTCAAAGATAAATTCAACCTTTAACCATATAGCTAACTTGACTTTGAAGTAAAAAAAAAAAATTTGCTCTCTTCTGTTTTACAGTATTCATTTCTGTTTCCATCTGAAAAACTGCATTTTATTTGCTTCTTTTACAGTGCATCAGCTCAGTTCAGTTCAGTTCAGTTCAGTCACTCGGTCGTGTCCGACTCTTTGCAACCCTATGGACTGCAGCACTCCAGGCCTCGCTGTCCATCAATAACTCCTGGAGTTCAGTCAAACTCACGTCCATTGAGTTGGTGATGCCATCCAACCATCTCATCCTCTGTTGCCCCCTTCTCTTCCCACCTTCAATCTTTCCCAGCATCAGGGTATTTTCCAATGAGTTGGTTCTTTGTATCAGGTGGTCAAAATCTTGGGAGTTTCAGCATCAGTCCTTCCAATGAATATTCAAGATTGATTCCCTTTAGGATGGACTGGTTGGATCTCCTTGCATTGAAGGGACTCTCAAGAGTCTTCTCCAACACCACAGTTCAAAAGCATCAATTCTTTGGCACTTAGCTTTCTTTATAGTCCAACTTTCACATCCATACAGGACTACTGGAAAAACTATAGCTTAAACTAGACGGGCCTTTGTTGGCAAAGTAATGTCTCTGCTTTTTAATATGCTGTCTAGGTTGATCATAACTTTTCTTCCAAGGAGCAAGCATCTCTTAATTTCATGGCTGCAGTCACCATCTGCAGTGATTTTGAAGCCCCTCAAAATAAAGTCAGTCACTGTTTCCATTGTTTCCCCATCTATTTGCCATGAAGTGATGGGACCAGATGCCATGATCTTCGTTTTCTGAATGTTGAGCTTTAAGCCAACTTTTTCACTCTCCTCTTTCATTAAGAGGCTCTTTAGTTCTTTGCTTTCTGCCATAAGGGTGGTATCATCTGCATATCTGAGGTTATTGATATTTCTCCTGGCAATCTTGATTCCAGCTTGTGCTTCATCCAGTCCAGCATTTCTTATGATGTATTCTGCATATAAGATAAATAAGCAGGGTGACAATATACAGCCTTGATGTACTCTTTTTCCTATTTGGAACC